AGGAGTGGCTGGTGGGTTTGAACTGCCAGCCTTCTGGTTAGCAGTCAAGTGCCTTAGCCACTATGCTACCAGAGCTCCTATTCCTATATATACTATATATAATTAATTGTATATAATTTAAACAATTATTTTTAAGTTATGAATAATCCTTTGTTCCTCATTAGTTTGTGTCACCTAGGTATTCTGAAATGTAAGCAAAATCATTATCAACAATTTATACACTAACTACATGCAATTTGATCACTACCATTAAAAACAGAAAGCAAAGAAGAGAATAGAGAAACTCTTAACAAGTCGCTGTCAAAATTATCAGAGATCTATGACTAGGCTTGTTCTAGGCTCAAAGATTTTTCCATAAAATGAAAGGTCATAGTTTTAAATGAATAGTTTTTTTAAGCAGTGGCATTTTTGTTGTAGTAAATGTCATGTTCATTTCATCTATTTTTTTTTTGTTGTTAGGCAAAGGCTCTTTTATAGCTCATGAGTTGACTGAAAACATGTTGAGTGTATTAATTTTTAACTTTATTAGCCCAGGAGCATATTACTCTTTATGGTTCAAGTAGTGGATATCCTGCAATTTTTTTTTTTTTTCAATAGGCTTTTAAACATTGTGGAACTCAGTTTATTCAGAAATGGGTCAAAATAAATATTGTGATATTTAATGGTAAACTTTTAAAATATTTTCGAACTTGGTCATAGCAACTGCTACTCTCCATTTTCACCAGGCTATTTTTCTGTACATGCCTAGATATATATTAAAAATATGTGTATATATTTCAGAAAGATCATTACATTATCAATAAAGAGATCAGTTAGAAAGGGATGATGTATTTAAAATGAGTTTAAAAATACCTGAAACTTCCTTTTTGAGTTCTAAAATCAAAAATGTCATTAATTCAAAATAACTAATTTCTCAGTGGCATTTTGCTTTGGACATGCATCAACTCTTTAACATGAAAAAATAAGTACCTGAACAAAGAAACATGTGTGCTTTCTTTAATTATAAATATACAATCTTCTTACAGGACATGTTCAGGAAACTTAACCTATAACAAGAAACAGTAGTTCTTATCATTATCCTTCACTCTGATCAAATTTAAAATTGCCTGGTCACATTTAAATACTTGTGTTATTTTGAAAAATCATTAGAGCTTCTCTCGTTGGAAATTAAAACATTAATGAAGTTTTTCAATAACATTGCATGAATAAAAATTGCATGTATAGTTCTCAAAGACATGGTCACTTCCTCTGATAAAATTTTTATTAGGAATGGCAAAAGGCCTTATTGTTGTGTTCTGAGTGTGTATAATGGGAGTAAATATACACGGGAGGTTGGTTATGTGGGTTATTGTTTTCTTTTTATTAGAGAATATTTTTTGCTATATTTGTTTGGAATTTTTTGTCCACTTTGGACCCAATTAGCTGCATATTGTTCATTTAGACTCCAAATTAATCAAAATCTAAAAATATTATTTGCATTTCATAGATGGTAATTAATATGCACACTTCTATACTTTTCTCATTCAATTAGGTTCTTCTGGACAAAGTCCTCTGTTAGTAGTCTTAAGTGGGAACCATACTGAACAATCAAATTTTACAAGTAAGAGCAATCAGTTATATTTCCGCTGGTCCACTGATCATGCAACCAGTAAAAAAGGATTCAAGATTCGTTATGCAGGTTAGTAAATGATGTTCACATTAAATACAAGAGTGTCTTCAATGCAAGGATCTATAAAAAATAGATTTTATAGAGAAATTTATAATTTAAAGCTAACACCTGAAATTTAATAATTAATTGCAGTCAGAATACTATGATAGGAAATTATTCCGTGTGATATAATAAACCACATTAGGAAAAATAAAATATATGTTTATTAATAATTTTGAATCTCTGATAGGAGTTCACTACAAATAATTTTAGAAAACCAATTAAATGAAGATATCTCTGAAATGCCAAGATATTGGCAAGGCACTGTAGTCCACAGCATTATCACATATTGCATCTTTAACCATTGTGTACCATGCGAGGTCTTGGTTACCTAGCCTTATGGGGAATATTGTTGATCACCATCACTGGAAAAGGAGAAGGAAAACAAAACAAAACAAAACAAAAAGACAGATCAAATGTCTATCTATCAAATGTCTCTAGTCAAATAAATAAATTGCACTATGTAAATACTGAGTTACTAATGCTTCTTCAATAATAAATAAAGTGTATGTAAGCTTCATTATTGTGAAGTCAAAAATACTGACTGGATTGAAATACCTCCTGGAAATTCCAAGATATCTAACTATTCCATTCTTTTTCTGTCCTGGATACCTACTTCACTCTTCCCCTCCTACAGCTTTCCTTTTCCATGGCCAGGCCAGCAAAGCCTGAGATTTTGCATTAGTCTCAATGCAGTCAGAGATTGAACAGGCAGAACTTCATGTCCTATTCTTCCCCTTTCCCTACCAGTGTCAGACTTCCCCTCCCTGGTCTCTCCATAGGAGCTCTGCTGGCGTAGTATCTAAGACTGCTAGCCAGAAGGCTGGAGGTTCAAACCCACCAGGCACTCCTCAGAAGGAAGATGGGGCAATCTACTTCTGTAGTGATACTGCCTCAGAAACCCAAGGAGGTGTCGTTATGAGTCGAAATTGATTTGATGACAATGAGTTTGTTTTTTTTTTGGTTGGTCTCTCCATACATTGCTCAAGGTGAATTAGGGAAGAAGAGGAGCTTGATTATAAAAGAAACATGGTAAAAAGGGCAGACAATTGACAGGATTATTGAACTTTCTAGTGTTAGGCAATCATCCTGTATATTATATCCCATAACAAATGTAACCATGACACAATGAAAGGGTAGCACCTAAAGAAGAAATGAGTAGTCTCACTGCTCCTTTGGGAGTATTTAGAGACTTTATTTACTTTATATTTACCATTGGAGGAGGGTTTTCAATCTGCCCTTTCTTTCTATTTCCTATTATCTTTTATTATTTGCATAATGATCTGGGAAGTTGGTATTTAGTCATACCTTTCAAACTTACAAAATTTGGTCTAGAACAATTAATGTTGGAAAACGACATGGCTAATGGTACAGTGAATTAAGAGTTTTTTACGGTGGTTAATGGCTTCTAATTTAAAAAATTCATCCCATTTAAAAAAAAAAGAAAAAGAAATAGTGATTCAGAGGCCTTTTCCAGCTGAGAATATTCTCTCAGAATGCTTCTCAAAGAATCATGGTTGACAACTAAGGCCAGGTACCTTGATGTTACTTCTGGGCAATGTTATGATAGGAGCCCTTTCAAAAGTTTCTTATGAATCAATTTCTAACACAAGGTTCTCCATTAAGCCTTCAGACCTATATGTGTGCACTTGTATATGGAACCCCCATAGGGGAGTAGTACATGTAAATTTTCTTTGTTAAGGAAAAACCAAGTTTGCAGCACTTCACAATTTTTTCTTTTTTACTGTTTTAATTCAGCTGAAGTCATTTTATACTGTAATAAAAGCTAATTTTGTATGATAAATTTAGTTTTTTTTTTTCACATATGTAAATAAGATGTAGAACATTTTAGGCATCAAAATGTTATATGCTGTTTAGGTAAGACCATGTTATTTTAACAAATGTTGTTGTTGTTGTTATGTGCCATCAAGTCGGCCCTGACTCATAGCGACCCCTCCTTGGGGTATCACTACAGAATTAGGATTGCCCAACCTTCCTTCTGAGGAGTGGCTGGTGGGTTTGAACTGCCAGCCTTCTGGTTAGCAGTCAAGTGCTTTAGGCACTATGCTACAAGAGCTCCTACATGTCTATAATTTTAAAAAAGTTTCCTTACAATGGGGGTGATTAAATCTATTTTCAGATTTTTATCAGTCTAAGGTAATGTAAATTATTTTGATCAAATCCTGTATTTTAAAAACAAGCTAAAGTACACATTATTGTACAATTAGAAAGCCCTACTTAAAAACAGAGAAAAAGTTAATAATCTTGATTACGCAAATGTTATACTCTTCTATTTTCTCCACTTTAATGATACCTCTTTTAATGGTGAGAATATTTTCCTTTAAATATGATGCCCAAAGTAGTACCTTATCATTTCTTATTCTTGTGATTGAAATGCTTATATAAGTAGGTAACTAGCTTTGAAGAGATGAGTGAGGGAATTCAGTATGTTATATCTACATATTTCTTTATAAAATTTTAATTTTGATTCTACCTTCAAATTGGTTAACTGCTTTGTTGTTGTTAAGGTAGCAATATCAAAATTACAAAATAGGAAACTTGACTCTTGGCCATAGATATTTTGGGGTGCTTTTTAGAACAAATTAAGTGTTGCTGCTCATTCCTCACTATTTAAAACATGTGTAGCTCATTTCTGTTATTTTTAACAAGGGACAGTTCAACATTTATTTAGTTAGTTATTCATGCATTCGTTTGTGTGTTTGTATGTCCTTAGCACCTTACTGCAGTCTGACTCAGACCCTGAAGAATGGTGGTATTGTAAATAGAACTGCAGGAACAGTTGGAAGTAAAGTACATTATTTTTGCAAGCCTGGGTACAGAATGATTGGCCACAGTAATGCAACTTGCATACGGAACCCTGTGGGCATGTATCAGTGGGATTCCCTCACTCCACTCTGCCAGGGTAAGAAATACGTTTTTTCATACCCAACCTTGAAATTGATTTATTATTCTTTTTAATCACACTCTTAAGGTTAGGGAAGCAGTGACTACAGAGAAAAGGTGAAAAAAAAGTGAATATTGGTGTATAAAAGTACAAATTAAGCTTTCCATAGATCATGCAAACATTTCCGACATTTGCACGAGACTTGATTTAGCTTTATGGCCTGAATTCAGAGGATGATTGAAAATTCACTTGATGTTGTGTAGTTATTCTAATACTTACTTGTACCTCATCTTACAGTTTAAAATGTATCATCAGAGTCAGATTCAAAAATAATTCTTCCTGACATGTATTAATTTTTAAAAATTAATTACCAAAAATTTATTTTCCTTATTTTGCTTTAGCATGCCACTTTTTAAGCAATAGGCTATTTGGTTTTCTTTTGGTCATTAAAATCTAGAATTAAATAAAGTTAATTTAACTTATTTCATGTCTTATTTTGCATTTTATCTATCATATGCATAAAAACTCGGTTCTCAAATAAGCCATTTTAATTGAAAACTCTGAAGTCATGAAATTTTCATAGTTTTATCTTACCCAGGTTTATATTCATAACTAATTATATTGGTTTTGGCAAGCTAAAATAAGATTTATGGGTGGAACTTCTTTTTTTCATTTTTTTTCCTTCTTTTTTCTCTTTTCATTAGGTATTAGAGACTGGGCAGTAATAGATACTTGTCACACTTATTACATGTCTCTTCAAAAATCAGAAATTAATCAAATGATTAGCTTCTAATATTTATGTTTTACTTTAAGAAATTCTTCTTTACTATAACATAAATACCTGAGAAGTTTGTTTCATTAGTTTCTTTTCCTTAAATAAAGAATAACTTTTCTGTTAGAAAAATAAATATTTCTAATTTTCTTTAAACATTCTTAGACTCTTTGTTTATGATATAGAATCTATTGCTGTAGTGTGCCTGCTTTCTGCTCAGAGATGGTCTCATGGAGCTATGCCCCATTGGTCTTAGAATTAGGATGCCAATTAAAAAAAGAAATGACAAAACAGCAACCTAGAAAAAGAAAGGGATTAGAGTAAGACTGACAAAGTTTCAATAATCATGATTTCTAAAGACTGAGTTACAAAATACAGTCTAAATATAATGTACTCTCATGGTCACTAATTCACTGCGGTGGAGTCAGATCTGACTCATAGCGACTCCTCCGTGGGTTTCTGAGGCAGTATCACTGCAGAAGTAGATTGTCCAACCTTCTTTCCAAGGAGTGGCTGGTGGGTTTGAACCACTAGCTGTCTGGTTAGCAGTCAAATGACTTCGGCACTATGCTACCAGAGCTCTGGAAAGATAACTTAATGTGAAGAGAAAGACATATAAAGGTGATGTTTCTTTTTATGAGTAGATGTTTATCTATCTTTGTGATAAGGAAAAATGTTAACAAGGAAGGGGAATGACATTTTCTTTCAATGAATGATAAAGAAAGAATGAAAAGAAGCCAGGGATACATTTTGTTGGTATGTTTTGACCTCCCTCTCTCTACCTCCTCCCCCAATGCTGTTGTTGTTGTTGTTACGTGCCCTTGAGTTGGCCCGACTCACAGCGACACCTCCTTGGGTTTCTGAGGCAGTATCACTATGGAAGTAGGATTGCCCAACCTTCCTTCCCAGGAGTGGCTGGTGGGTTTGAAGCCAGTCTCCTCCCACAATAGAACTATTTAATGCTGAATCAAATGTCTCAGAAATAGAAATAGTACATTAAAACCAGACCTTTCTTAAGTCTTCTTTGCTTTGACTGAAGATTTGAGTGAACACGGCCACTGTGTGTTTTCTTTACTTTGAGCATAATTGAGAAGCAGTGCCATTATGGGACATGAGATATTAGAATCATACAACACATTCTAGTTGGAAAATTAAAATAACTTTTTTCAGATTTCTTCTTGGAGATAAAGGACATATGTGATTTTTTTTCCCTCTAATTATAAAATGTATTATTTTCTTAAAACACACGCATATTTTTCTACATTATATGTTAATCCTTCTAATACTGGGGAGTTAATATAACCTTGTTCTTCATAAATTATGACCGGTAAAACTAGAGAGACTGTAAAAAGTAATAATATTGTCAGAACTTGTCTAGATTCCTTAGGTATAAGAACCAGGATCAGCACAAACTGATTCCTGTGAGGTGGAGATCAGACATCCCTCCATTCTACAACTTGTTTTTACCAACTCTGACACCAGCCATCCCTCCCACTTCACTCTCTATGTCTCCGTTGCAATGACCGCACAGAACTCACAATCATACTAATAGTTAAGTAGTTTAATAAGGAAATAACAGAACAATCCAGGATCCGTATCAATAGGCTGTAACTCAGGATCAGAATCAGGACGCTTGTACACAAAGTTGGGAATGCTACCCTGAAGTAGAGAGCACACCACTTCCTTACTCAGTGAAGGACAGCTCTCTCAGTTCCTCTTGGGTGTGCAAGCAAACAGACCCTTCCCTCTACCATGTACATCTCTTCTCAGTTATGTACACCTTATCTCAATCCCTGCAGGACAAGATCCTCTTGACCCCCAGGGAAAGGCTTTCTTTGGACTGTGCATGCTCTCTTTTAGCTGTGCAGGCCTATCTGACTCTGGCCTCCCTGCCGTTGGCCTCTCTGTTGCTAACTGACCCAGCTCATAGCCAGTGTAGTAGTTCAGCTCTCCTAGCAGCATTCCTAGATGTAGGTTTCTGGGGTCACCACTGATTGCCATAGAACCTTTTCAACAAGGCCTCTTGCTGTCTTCAGTGTTTCTACCCTTGGTCCACGTTACAGCTTATTAAGGAAGTTCCTCACCTCCTCTCTCTCTGCTTTTTCTTTCTTCTTGCCTCTCTTCCCTTTTCTCCTTCTGCTTCTTTCTTTCTTCTGGTCTTTCTGTCTGCAAACTTTTGTAGGGCTGGCTGAATATATAAACAAGCTCTTGGTCAATTTCAAAGCATGACCTTCCCACAAGGGCCACAAACTAACCAATCCCCTCTTAGTAAGACTTAATCACTTCATTTGCATAGTAGGTTATGGTCACTTTATTTGTATAAACATATTAACCAGTCCCTGAAAGGTATGTGAAAAAAATCAATCAAATGAAAGAAACTCATTTCACCATAAATAACTTAAAAATGGTGTCATTCACCTCCCTTATTTTATGTATTTATTAATATTAAACACACAAAAAACTATGACTTGTTATCATAAAAATATTGACCTAGATGCAGTCTTTCTCCCTGCCTTTCAGTGTTTCAATCAAATTGATTCTTGTCAGAAATTTTATTTAAAACAAATTTTTTCAAATAGTAATTCTGGAAGTAATCTACATTTTAGTTGCTTATATTCATTTACTAGGGCAGTTCCTTTAACCTTTTCTTAGATATATGCAATTTCTGTCAAATACATTTTAGCTGTAATAATATACAAAATATTTTCATCTTCTGTGAAGGTTTTAATGTTTAAATAAAACTAAAAATTACTAGAGAATGGGATTTTTTAATCATTTAAATTATGTAGTGTGATTAAATAAATGTAATTACCATTTTTTTCATAAAATTAAATCTTAAGAAAAATAGTAAAAAAAGATTATTTGAATATATGAGACCATTGTAAAAATTTAAAATAGAATATGTCTACATTACATATAGGAGCTCTGGTAGCATAGTGGCTAAAGCACTTGACTGCTAACCAGAAAGCTGGCAGTTCAAACCCACCAGCCACTCCTCGGAAGGAAGGTTGGGCAATCCTACTTCCGTAGTGATACTGCCTTGGAAACCCAAGGAGGGGTTGCTATGAGTCGGGGGTGACTTGACGGCACATAACAACAACAACAACAACAACATTACATATGAAGGAGCTCTGGTGATGAAGTGCCTAAGATATTTGACTGCTAACCAGAAGGTTAACAGTTCAAATCTACCAGCCACTCTGTGAAAGGAAGACTGGAAAATCTAGTTCCATAAAGATTTATTGCCTTGGAAACCCAACAGGGGTGGCTATGAATCAAAATTGACTCTATGGCAATGAATTTGGTTTTTGTATTTATATTACATATGAGAATCCCTGGTGGGATAACAGTTAACTGCTAGACTGCTAACCAGAAGGTTGATGGTTTGAGCCTACCTAGTGACTTCACAAGACAAAGACCCAGAGATCTGTTTTGGTAAAGATTAACCAAAAAAAAAAAAAAAAAAAACTGTTAAAACCTAGAAACCGCAATGGGGCCATGTGTGTCACATGGGGTTACTATGAGTCAAAATCGACTCAACAACACCTAACACAGAAACATATAACCTATATGGAAAATTAATACCACAAATGTCTTTTGCTTAAGCATAACGATATTAAAATTGATTTCACTGAATGTAACATAAAATTTAAATATGTAATTGTCACAATATATGATAATATGTGATAATTATTGGGAGGTTTGATTTGTTTAATATTAATTATTCACTTTACTTTTGTTCTTTATAGAATGGAGACATTTTACCTAAAGTAAATAAATATTTATATTATTTTAATAATTTATTTAAAAAAATCAGTGGTTTTATTTGATAGAATAAGGAAGAGGCTTTGGGGATTTTCAGCTCCCCACCCCATACAAAACACCTACTCTGTACTAGAAGGATTCTCCTGTCAATTCATAAATGTATGGATGGTTGTATCAGGGGAAACAAAATCAGTAAGACGTGCTGCTTTCTTTTCAAGGTGCTCACATGCTAATTGTGAATAAAACAAATGATAAATTTTGGTAACTGCCATCATGTATACCATGATCAAGAATATATAGGTATGCAACAGGAAATATAGAATTAATTAGTACTCTGATTGATTTGCAAATAGAATTGTTTTCAGGTAGTTGCCTCTATAAAACATTATCATCAGAAATTTTTTTCTAAATATTGTACATTAAAAACATTTTTAAGGTAAAATTGGAAACTCCATTATAAATAAGAAGATGTTGTGATTAT